AAGGAAGGAAGGAAGGAAGGAAGGAAGGAAGGAAGGAAGGAAGGAAGAAAGGAGGGAGGGAGGGAGGGAGGGAGGGAGAGAAGGAAGGGAGGAAGGGAGGAAGGGAGGAAGGGAGGAAGGGAGGAAGGAATATTAAAATAGTCTAACTAGAGTTCAACTATTAGAGGTTTGCTAAAACCTGTTCAGTCGCTGGACTATTCTGCACTATCAGGATCCTATCCCCTTCACTTATCAGTGACACTCAGTGTTCCTTTCTACTCCAGTGCCTACATTTCCCAGGTGTCCTGAAACTGACACCATGTGTTCTGAAGCTGTAGAGGCAAAGAAGATGATCAAGAGAAAGTCCAACTCCCAGGATTGTAGTTCCAATGCCACTAGGTAGGCTATGAAGTCCCTGGCCTTTCCAAGTCTGGTTAATTTCACTCCAAGTGAAATTAAACCAAGTAGAAGACTCCAAGTTCTTGCAACTCAAAGAACTCCTAAAGTGCAAATGGCCGACTGACTGCTGTTCAAAATATCAGAATATCACAGACTCGCTCTCTGTGGATCCTGACACTCCCTGGTTCCAGCATTCTTCAAAGTTGCTTAAAGTCTCTGTAGCATAATCTGCAACTGCCAGAGCTTTTCTGTGAGATTTAGGACTGTGGTCTTCCTGGAGACTCAGAAAAGATCTGGTGACACTCAAGACACTCCTTGAGAAGTGAGTCAAATTTCCTGTCCCTGTGTTATAAAAAATACTGAGATCAAACAAAAATAACAAAGCTGTTTGCTGCAGGAAATATTCTGGAAAGACTATAAACCAGTAAGGCTGCTTACTTATTCAGTCCAACAGCTTACCTCAGGATCCTCATGCTGGCAGGTCCCACAATCCAAAATTAGTATATCCGCACATCGTTAATATTTCTATGTGTGTGTGCGTGTGTGTGTGCATGCACATGTGTGTTCACATGCATGTGTAGTGAGAACACCTAAAATCTACTCTCAGCAAATTTCCAGTATACAAAGATGGATATATTAATTAGCTTGACTGCAGTAGTCATTTCACTATGTACATGTATACTAAAACATCATCACCTTAAACATATAAAATTTTTATTTATTTATTTATTTTGAGAGAGAGAGAGAGAGAGAGAGAGAGCAGGGGTGGGGGGCAGAGGGAGAGAGAGAATCTTAAGAAGACTCCACACATAGCACAGAGCCTGACGCAGGGCTCAATCTCACCACCCTGAGATCAGATCTGAGTTGAAATCAAGAGTCAGATGCTTAGGGAAAATTGGACAGCCACATGCAGAAGAATGAAACTGGACCATTTCCTTACACCACACACAAAAATAGACTCCAAATGGTTGAAAGACCTAAACGTGAGACAGGAGTCCATCCAAATCCTAAAGGAGAACACAGGTAGCAACCTCTTCGACCTCAGCCGCAGCAACTTCTTCCTAGAAACATCACCAAAGGCACAGGAAGCCAGGGCAAAAATGAACTATTGGGATTTCATCAAGATAAAAAGCTTTTGCACAGCCAAAGAAACAGTCCACAAAACCAAAAGACAACCGACAGAATGGGAGAAAATATTTGCAAATGACATATCAGATAAAGGGCTAGTATCCAAAATCTATAAAGAACTTATCAAACTCAACACCCAAAGAATAAATAATCCAATCAAGAAATGGGCAGAAGACATGAACAGGCATTTTTCCAAAGAAGACATCCAAATGGCCAACAGGCACATGAAAAAGTGCTCAACATCGCTCAGCATCAGGGAAATCCAAATCAAAACCTCAATGAGATACCACCTCACACCAGTCAGAATGGCTAAAATTAACAAGTCAGGGAACAACAGATGTTGGCGGGGATGTGGAGAAAGGGGAACCCTCCTACACTGTTGGTGGGAATGCAAGCTGGTGCAACCACTCTGGAAAACAGTATGGAGGTTCCTCAAACAGTTGAAATTAGAGCTACCATTCGATCCAGCAATTGCACTACTGGGTATTTACCCCAAAGATACAAATGTAGGGACCCGAAGGGGTACATGCACCCCAATGTTTATAGCAGCAATGTCCACAATAGCCAAACTGTGGAAAGAGCCAAGATGTCCATCGAGAGATGAATGGATAAAGAAGAAGTGGTATATATACACAACGGAATATTATGCAGCCATCAAAAGGAATGAGATCTTGCCATTTGCAACGACGTGGATGGAACTGGAGGGTGTTATGCTGAGTGAAATAAGTCAATCAGAGAAAGACATGTATCATATGACCTCACTGATATGAGGAATTCTTAATCTCAGGAACAAACTGAGGGTTGCTGGAGTGGTCGGGGGTGGGAGGGATGGGGTGGCTGGGTGATAGACATTGGGGAAGATATGTGCTACGGTGAGGGCTGTGAATTGTGTAAGACTGTTGAATCACAGATTTGTACTTCTGAAACAAATAACGCAACATATTTTAAGAAAAAAGAAAAAGAAGAAGATAGCAGGAGAGGAAGAATGAAGGGGAGTAAGTCAGAGGGGGAGATGAACCAGGAGAGATGATGGACTCTGAAAAACAAACTGAGGTTTCTAGAGGGGAGGAGGGTAGGGGGATGGGTTAGCCTGGTGATGGGTATTAAAGAGGGCACATTCTGCATGGAGCACTGGGTATTATGAACAAACAATGAATCATGGAACACTACACCAAAACAAATTATGTAATATATGGTGATTAACATAACAATAAAAAAAGTTAAAAAAAAAAGAGTCAGATGCTTAACCGACTGAGCCACCCAGTGGCTAAAATTTTTATTTAAATAAATTACTAAATTTTTTATTTAAATATTTTAAAATTTTATTTAAATAAACTATTTTTAAAGCTAGCATGTCATAACTTTGCCCGATCCAACCTAACTCTGCCCTATCCCAATCCTGCCTTGCAAAACTCCCTTTTAAATTTTTTTTAACTAATAAACTTCATTTTCTAGAGCAGTTTTAGGTTTATATCAAAACTGAGCAGAAATTACAGGGAGTTCCCATATACTTACTCCCTGTTCCCACACATACACAATCTCCCCGACTGCTGACATCCCATACCAGGATGGTACTGTCGGTACAACCAGTGAACCCACATGGACATATCATTATCACCCAAAGTCCATAACTGACCTTAGGATTCACTCTTGTCAAACTCTCTTTTTAAAAAATCACCCAAATGCATCACTAAAACCCTATAAACACCTTTCCCTGCCTTCTCTCTTCTGAGATACTATCAAGACAGTCAAAATGGCAGTCTACATACTGTTTCAAGTCCAGTAAACACAGCCTTCTTGGCCAACAGGCATTTCTAATGGTTTTGTTGGTGACTTATTGACACCATGTCATGGCTTACTTCCTTGAAGAGCAGTGACCATGACCCACAGATAGAAAAAATTTTACGTCACAATCACTACACTCACAGATGTCCATAGGGATGACCTGAGATTGAGGCCACTATCAGACTACCTTAAAGAAGATGCTAAACATCTGTGATGAGGACCTTTTTTAAAAAAGTCATTACCCGGGGCGCCTGGGTGGCTCGCTTGGTTGGGCGACTGCCTTCGGCTCAGGTCATGATCCTGGAGTCCCGGGATCGAGTCCCGCATCGGGCTCCCTGCTCGGCGGGGAGTCTGCTTCTCCCTCTGACCCTCCTCCCTCTCGTGCTCTCTATCTCTCATTCTCTCTCTCTCAAATAAATAAATAAAATCTTAAAAAAAAATAAAAAATAAAAAGTCATTACCCTCCGGCACCTAGGTGGCTCAGTCAGTTAAGCGTCTGCCTTTGGCTCAGGTTGTGATTCCGGGGTCCTAGGATTGAGCCCCATGTCTGGCTCCCTGCTCAGCGGGAAGTCTGCTTCTCTCTCTGCCCCCCACCTTGTGCTCTCTCTCGACCTCTCTCTTTCAAATAAATAAATAAAATCTTTAAAAAAAAAAGTCAATACCCTCATATGCTGGGGCGCTTGGGTGACTCAGTCGTTGAGCATCTGCCTTCGGCTCAGGTCATGATCCCAGGGTCCTGGGATCAGGCCCCGCATTGGCCTCCCTGCTCAGTGGGAAGCCTGAGTCTCCCTCTCCAACTCCCCCTGCTTGTGTTCCCTCTCTCGCTGTCTCTCTCTCTGTCAAATAAATAAATAAAATAAAATAAAAAATACCCTCATTTGCTACCTCATCCATAGCATTTGCAGTGTGTCTAGTTGAATGGTTCTAAGCAATTTAGTGGACCCAACTTAGTTATTGGGGTAACATTTTTCCTTACAGAGTAGTTGGGACATGAGAACAATTTTCTAATCTCCCAAATGATAAGCTCTGACAAAATGAAGTGTGGAAAATGTAGTAGGTCATTGCAAACTTCATCTCAAAGTGGATTTTGTAAGTTACCAAGCTAAAGTTCTGCTTGATGCAGAGTTGTGGTTACACTGGCTTTAGCCCCAAATCACTGTGTGAGAGGCAGGAGTCTCATAAGGAGGTAATTGCCCCAGTCACGTGAATAATCAGATCTTTTTCAGTAATGACTTCAAGAGGATCCCAGCCCTAAGCCTGTCAGATTCTAGGAACCCAATATGACTGGAGACCTGGGGGTATACTATATGTGCTAGTTAGAGCCCAAATGAAATTGATGATCTCTTGGTAAAGGAGAATTCATGTGTTCTTGTGAAATGAGAGATGCTCAAATTAATTTCCAACTTTAGAAAATGGCCAATGGAATACATTTGTTTAAAAACCAAAACAAAACTTGGGACACCTGGGTGGCTCAGTCGGTTGAGCGTCCAACTCTTGGTTTCAGCTCAGGTCATGATCTTGGGGTGGTGAGACTGAGCCCTGCCTCGGGCTCCTTGCTCTGCGGGGAGTCTGCTCGAGATTCTCTCTCTCACTCTCCCTCTCCCTCTGCTCCTCCCCTCCACTCACACGTGCTCTCTCTTTCTCTCTCAAATAAATAAATAAATCTTTTAAAAATATAAATAAAACCCAAAACAAAACCAAATCTAAATGTGTGAATACATATGCATGTTTCTGTGCATCCAGAAAAATACATAGAAGGATATTCACTATCATCAGTTATTTCAGGAGGATAGAAATAGAGGTGGGTGGGGAAATTACGTACCTCTTTGTATATCTTTAGGACTATTTTACTTGTTACAAAAAATTAGAAAATTTTTGAAAGTGCAAAATCCTCTTTTCTCCTTAAATACAGGCACCTGTGCCAGAGAGTAAAAGGAGAAACTTCTGCTACTATAGCTTCCAATCCTGGCAGCAAAGAAATATATATCTGATAGAGCAAAATTCCTCAGCTTTGACATGGCCTTTAAATCAACAGAAGAGGGTGCCTGGGTGGCTCAGTTGGTTAAGCGACTGCCTTCAGCTCAGGTCATGATCCTGGAGTCCCAGGATCAAGTCCCGCATCGGGCTCCCTGCTCGGCGGGGAGTCTGCTTCTCCCTCTGACCCTTCCCCGTCTCATGTGCTCTCTCTCTCTCTCATTCTCTCTCTCTTTCAAATAAATAAATAAATATTTTTAAAAAAAATAAATCAACAGAAGATAAGTCTGCACCAGTGGTTGGTAGGAAGAGGATGGATGGTGCTTTGTACGCTATGTGCAGTGAGAGGGAGACCAACACAGAAACAGCAAGGAAGGTCTTCAGCAGGCCCTGCTGGTGCCTTGGGGAAGGTAAGTCTGTTGGCTTCTGTGAACAACAGGTGTTCCCACTGACCTCGGAGGTGCCTCTCTGGGTGAGAATGTTATCTAAAAATCTATCCCCATGTAAGACCTGGGAAAGCCACTGGGATAAAGATTCTCAGCCCAGGGTTTCCAAACGGGTGTCCTTCTGTGAGTAGAAGCAGCAATACTGATTGGCCATAAAAATCAGGCATCAGGCATTTCCCTTCAACATCAGATGTCATGGTGATAAAAGTCTAAAAAATCAAGTCTGATTAAATCCTGTCCCTGCTTTCAACCATTCAGGGTGCACTGGGAGAAATCGGAGCTGCTAAGTACAGTAGAGAAGGCGCCATCTTGCACAGCCCACAGCATCTCCAGCATTTCTGTCACTCAGCAAAACCAAACTGCTTACAAAGTTTCCAGTCTCTGTACATCTTCCTGGAACACCCTCTCCCCCTGACCTCCCACACATACACATGAACAACTTTTCTTTGTCCCATTCCTTCCCCAAGTGCTTGTGCCTCCCACAATATCCATCAGATGACACTCCATTTCCAAAGCTTTCCCTGGCCCCAGCCCCTGATAAGAGTTAGTGAATTCTTCCTCTGTGGCCCCCACCCCCACCCACCAGACTGCTACCTCCACTGCTGCAAGTGTGGGCAGGATCAGGGGCAGTGGGTCTAGGGATCAGAGTCCAGGGAGAGTCCAGGTGCAGAGGTCCAGAGAGTGGTCCAGGAAGCAGCATGCTGGGAAAAGTCACATCAAAGGTGTCTTTGAAAAATCCCCTCAGTACCTGAGGGTTCACACTCGAGGTGTAAGGCAGAACCCAGAGAAATAAAGTGAAGCTGAAGGAAGGTTCATGGCTGCACCATCATGAGGGATGCCAGACTAGGCCCGAGTGCCTGTGAATTCTAGAGGCCGGGCCTAGAGACCACTCCTTCCTCAGACCCCTTCCCTCGATCGTCCCTATTCAAGGAACCCTAAAGTGGGTGTCCAGAGACTATTCCTCAGGCTCATACCACTCCCTGCTCCATCCATCTAACAAAACAATTAGTAAATTTTCATCTACCTGATCCTGGCCTGGCCAGTTCTTCAAAGTCTCATTTCTGAAGGCTTACATTGTTTGGAATACTTAAAAACCTTTCAGAGTGAAGGGGAGCTTGGAGGTAAAAGAAAAAGTGGATGTTCCCTTTCTTTCATAAACTTCAATACAGGTTGCTCATATGAAAATCCACAAAGTCATTTTAGGAGTATTACAGTTCCAGTTGTACATTAAATCCCTTATTACTAAAAACTCTTGCTTTTTTATGTCTCAAATTCTAAATCTATTTTTCCTTTAGTGACATTTACTTGAGATTAAAGAGGAAGTGAATGGGCCTGTAAACTGAAAAATGGGGAAAAGATACAGTTGTACATTCAGTGATTCTACCAAAAATATTTTCTTGGTATGATATTGTCTAGCAATGTTTTCTGAATATATATGATGATGATACTTAAATTTTTCTTTTTCTTTTTTTTTGATACTTAACTTTTTCATCCATGTGACTGGCTATAATCATTCTTTTCTACATAACAGAGATCCATAATCAAATAAAACATAAAACAACTTTAAGGACAAGATGAAAAGTTCTTAACTGCAATATTAATTGCAATGTTGAAGTTTAAATATATAAGGTAAAAAACTGTCTAAGTTAGTTGTATGCATTTTGCCCTCCAAATCCATGTGTAGGGAACACATTTCTATGTATCTCTCTTAACAATTATAGATCCTACTGCCAGGTAAAATTCTTGGGCAGCATGCCTTCCCAAAAATTAGAGTGGATTTTGTTCACAGATATTAGTTTATCAGTTGTTCACCAACTGCATCAGCTGAAGACATTTAACAGCTTACATATCACTTTCTATATATTTTATTCATGTTTTTACAGAATCACATTTCATTACCTTCAAGCGGAGGCTGGCCTGTGGCTGCAGCTGTAGGATAAGAGAGGCCTCACACACCACACAGATGGGAGTGTTCATGGGCACCATGTTTCCACACTCTGCACATAAGCCCATCTGCACAAAGAAAGAGGTTTGTCTTGGGATGCAAAACCTGAAGGTATAAGTAGATCTTCGAATATAAGATTTAATTTGCTTTTGGGGTGCCTGGGTGGCTCAGTCGGTTAAGCATCTGCCTTTGGCTCAGGTCATGATCCTGGAGTCCTGGGATCAAGTCCCGCACTGGGCTCCCTGCTGAGCGGGGGAGTCTGCTTCTCTCTCTCCCTCTGCCCCTCCCCCCACTTGTGCTCTCTCTCTCTCTCTCTCTCTCTCAAATAAATAAAATCTTAAGAAAAAGATTTAATTTACTTTCGTAAAAAATGTTTAAAAATAATTACCTTTATTCTTATTTTTTTATATTGTAAGAACATGTTTACTGTGGAAAATAGAAGTGTAAAAAAAAAAAAAGAAAAAATATCTTACAGCACAATGGAGTAAGGAAACCCACAAATCCTCTCTCCAAAAAGCAATTATAAATTTGGATAAAACTGTCATTTCAGAGTCAAAAAACCATTCCAGATTCTGAAAGTCACCAAAGGCACACAACAAACTGAAAGTGGTGAATTTCAGATAAGAACACTACAAGTCTATGTGGTTCCTGCTTGAGGCTATACCCATCCTCCTCTAGCTCTGTCAGTGTGGCAGCCTCACTGGGGCAGGAGATGCTGTGAAAACCAGCAGCTTCATAGCTGCAGCTGGGCAGGGGTCACTTGATTTGGAGCACTATTAAGATGACAATCTCAGTGGCAAGAAAACAGGGAGGGCCAGTGGCTGTATGAGCCTGAAATCATCATCCTGTTTGAGGCAACTAGTCAGGGATTTAACAGAAAGTTCCAGGAGGTAAGTCAAATATAGGGTGCTTGATAAGCTCCCCACATATCTTTAGTTGACTGGAAGATATACACATGTATAGCATAAACCAGAGTGGGAGTAAGCCACTCATACATTGCTGGCTGATGGAGGCTACACATGGAGATGCAAGGGAGTTCAGTATAAAGTAAAAGCTGAGGCAGACTTGAAAATAGCCTGAAGATTGAATGTTTGATCCAGCCCACACATAGATCCATCAGCAGAGAGTGGAAGCCTTACTGGACCAAGGTATTTGAGTACAACTTCTGGCCAATCTTCAGTTGAGCACTAAGCTATGCAGACCCAGGGGTGACCCCAGGCTTAAAAATAAAAACAAGAACAAAAAACCTGATATCAGGGGTGCCTGGGTGGCTCAGATGGTTAAGCGTCTGCCTTTGGCTCAGGTCATGATCCCAGGGTCCTGGGATCGGGTCCCACATCGGGCTCCCTGCTCCTTGGGAGCCTGCTTCTCCTTCTACTTCTCTCTCTCTCCCTCTGTCTCTCATGAATAAATAAATAAAATCTTAAAAAAAAAAAAACCTGACATCAGTGGCCACACATTTCAGGGGAGACAAACATGAGAAAAAAATTAATCCCAGTAAACAAAAATAAAAATAGCAGAAAAAAAAAAAAAAAAGAAAGAAAACGTTAGAATCCAGAGTTGTTATAATATATCATCTAAGATGTCCAGAATTAAAAAAATTATGAGGCACACAAAAAACAAGAAAGTGTGACCTAAACTCAGGGAGAAAAAAAACAGTTGGTAGATATAGTATCCCCAGATGTTGGATTTACAAAGATTTCAAAACAGCTGTTATAAAACTGTTCAAAGAACTCAAGGAAACCATGTTTAAAAGATAAAGAAAGTATTATGGTGATGATTCAAAAAAATAGGGACTCTTAATAAAGACATAGAAATTATTTTTTAAAAAGAACCATATCAAAACCTGGAGTTTAAAATTAAAATAACTGAAATGGGGAAAAGAAAACAAAAACAAAAACAAAAAAAACCCTCCAGAGGGACTCCATAGCAGATCAGAGATGACAGAAGAAAGACTGGTGAACATGAATATGTTCAATAGAAATTTTCCAATCTGAAGAACAAAGAGAAAAAGGATGGAAGAAAATAAACCATCAAACACTTGTAGGACAACATAAAACATATCAACATACATGTAATAGGAGTCTTAGAAGGAAGGGAGAGAGAAGAAAAGGTAAAAAAAAAAAAAGAATTTGAAGAAATAATAGCCAAAAACTTCCCACATTTGAAGAAAAACATTAATCTATAGCTCCAAGAAAATCAATTCCAAGAAAGATAAACAGAAAGAGATCCACACTTAGGCACACTATAGTCAGATTGTTGAATGTCAGAGAAAGAGAAAAGTCTTAAAAGTAGCAAGAGAAAAAACTACTTATCACATACATCAAAAACCATGGAGACCAGAGGTAGGAGAATAATGTCTTCAAAGGACTGAAATTAAAAATAACTGTCAAACAAGGGGCTTCTGGGTGGCTCAGTCTGTTAAGCGTCTGACTCTTGATTTCAGCTCAGGTCATGATCTCAGGGTTGTGAGATCGAGGCCTGCGTCATCAGGCTCCATGCTCAGTGGGGTGCCTGCTTGAGAGTCTCCTTCTACCTCTGCCCTTCCCTTCCCCCCCTCTCAAATAAATAAGTAAATCCTTAAAAATAACTGTTAAACAAGAATTCTACATCCAGTAAAATTATCCTTCAAAAGAGGATGCAAAATAAATATTATCAGATAGACAAAGACAGAAAGAAATGGCTAGCAGATGTGCCTTTAGTAAAGGAAGTCCACCAGGCTGAAACTAAGTGACACTAGACGATAACCTGAGTTCGCAGGAAAGAAATGAAGAAATGAGACACCAGATATGAGTACATAAACATTTTTTAAATGACATAAGATCACGTAACACTGCATTTTCAGTTTATAACATATATAGATGTAATATATATGATGATATATATTACAGAAAAGATAAATAAATGGGGAGGAAAAGGAGTATGGCTGTTGACCATTGGATAGCAAAGAAGTTCAACTGGGGTGACATAGACCTGAACCGGCAAGCAAAAAGCAAAAAACTGGGTCCAGTGAAACCTGTTTGGAAATCTCCCTCTGGGGAGCTGGTAGAACATGCTGGGAAGGCCTGTGCAGGCATGCTCCTATAGCTTGCTGGCAAACTGCCCACTGGGATGCCTGAGGACTATCTGGAAGCTGGCTGGGGTGCCAGTGAAACTCACTGAGAAGCTGTTCATGGGATGTTACCAAAACTGGATTCCTGCAGGTTAGTTGAGCACTGCCAGAGCAAAAAGAGAGGAAAGCATACCAGAACCAGGAAGAAAGGCCAAGTCCATTCTCCTGCAGTGTCCCTCCAGCAGCAATGTTCCTCTACTAACAAAATTAACATCTAGCTAGCTGGCACAGGAGAAATGTTAAAAGGGTCCAGCTCCAGGACCCACGAGGCAGGGCAATGAAGGGTGGATCTGGAGCTGTAAGGTGCACTTCTCCATCTGTTAATGAGACTCTGTCTTGGATTAAGTTTACCATTTAAAATATTTATAATCTTGGGGCACCTGGGTGCCTCAGTCAGTTACGCCTCTTCCTTCGGCTCCGGTCATGATCACAGGGTCCTAGGATCGAGCCCTGCATTGGGCTCCTTGCTCAGCGGGGAGCCTGCTTCTCCCTTTGCCTGCTGGTCCCCCTGCTTGTGCTCTCTCTCTTTGTCAAACAAATAAATAAAATCTTTAAAAAAATAATAAAAATAATAAATAATAAATAATAAAATAAAATAAATAAAAATAAAATAATAAAAATAAATAAAATATTTATAATCTTTGATAACTTTTCCTCCCTAAAAGAACAAAGAAAGTTCTGAAAATCTGTTTTCCAGGGTGCCTGGGTGGTACAACTGGTTGAGCGACTGACTCTTGGTTTCAATTCAGGTTGTGATCTCAGGGTTGTGGGACTGAGCCCCACACTGGGCTCTGTGCTCAGCACAGAGTCTGCTTGGGATTCTTTCTCTGCCTCTCCCTGGCCCCATCCCCTGCTCACACTATAATAAAAAAATATTTATTATTATTTATAATAAATAAATAAAGTCTTTGAAAATCTGTTTTCAGGCAAGTAAAAAATAACTTTGACACTGCACCAATGAATGAAAATAAGCAGGGGAAATCCAAACTGCTGGGATCTATTCATAGTTTATTTTCTGTATTATCTTTTTTATGAAGTTCAAAATACATTATAGAAAATTAAATTAACTTCTACAACAATCTTGAGCAATACCTTGGAATAAATTGTAAAAAAGATATCCATTTAGATTCTCACCCTTTGCTTGAAGGTATAACTCAATTCTAGAACTCTAGACTTAAACACACTGAATTAGTGGCTTTTTCTTAGTGACTATCTTTTTAAAGATGGTTATCTTTCAGTCAACATCATAGATCCTTTTATTTCATTTTGGAAACCCTACTCCATAAAACTCCCCAAGTTTCAAGTGCATAAAAGATAACATATTTTGGTGAAGGTTTTGATTTTTAGTAAGCTGAGTATCTTTTTTAACTATAAACTCATTAGTAGGCTTATACCAATTATTATCTACACTTAACAGCCCAAATTTTTTAATAGATCAATCTATAGCTTATACCAATCTTCGGACAAAATGATGTATCTTAAGGATATACAGATTTGTAATTAGTACTTCTCTCCATTTATTTCTAGAATAGAAATATTACTGTACCCAGGTTATAAACTGAGTATCATCTGAGTAGGAAATATATATTTATCTATGCACATATCACTGAAACAATAAGATTTCAGGGCACCTGCGTGGCTCAGTTGGTTAAGCATCTGCCTTCGGCTCAGGTCATGAACTCAGGGTCCTGGGTTTGAGTCCTACATCAGGCTCCCTGCTCCATGGGGAGCCTGCTTCTCTCTCTCCCTCTGCCTGCCACTCCCCCTATTGTGCACGCACGCACTCTCTCTCTCTCCCTCTGTCAAATAAATAAATAAAATCTTTAAAAAAAAATACAATAGGATTTCAGTATCCTTCTGAACCTGTGCTTCTGTAAGGCCACCAAAAGAAATGGCATCGCAAACAAGGTTTTCCATTTTTAAGTAAGAGACTGGGCAATAAGAGATTAGTCTGCCGGTAATTTTTTCAACAATATTTATGTTTGTGGATCATGAGTGCCAGGTACTATGCTACTGCTCTACTAAAGATCAGATAAACCAATGAAAGAAGTTTTTAAAGATTCTGCTGCTCACCTGAGCTCCTTCTGGGGGTGGGAGACGACAGCCAAATATGGGTGGGACAGGAGAGCCACATTCTTGACAGAAGCGAGCAAAGGGGTCAGATGGGCGGGGGGCCAGGCAGTGGGCACACCTGCAACAAAATAGGTTTCTGATCGGCTATGTTCTGATGGGTTCACATTAAGAAGTCAGATGAAAATCTCCAAGTGTTCAAACATTTTAGAAAATAAAAAAACAAAACAAAGAGCAGACCACTCTCAAAGGCTATATGGAACAAGTTCAAGACAGGGGTTGCTTCTCCAGTCATTTTATTACAAAGTGGCCTTCCACCTGGACCCACTGGTCCTTCACCTGGCCTGGCTTACCTTATTTCCCGACCTGTGGCAGAAGTTTATCAGCAGCCTTGATCCCACTTCTGACTCATCCTATGACACTGGATTTGGCGTGGGTGAGGGTGATCCCTGAGAATTCCAGTAAAGTCTACCTTAACTGCAATCTTCTGACTTCCTACCTGACCTCTGAGCTCAGTCTGTGACAGGTCTTGCCTAGAGGAGGACCACGTCTTGACCAAAGAAGATATACAAATGGCCAAGAAACACATGAAAAAAATGCTCAATGTCACTTGTCATTAGGAAAATGCAAATCAAAACCACAATAAAATTCCACTTTATATCTATTAGGATGACTATTAGAAAAACAGATAATAACAAGTATTGGTGGAGAAATTGACACCCTTGTGCATTTCTGGTGGAAGGTAAAATGATGCAACTGCTGTGGAAAACAGTTTAGCAGTTCCTGAAAAAGTTGGGCAAAGAATTACCATAAAATCGAAATTCTAGTCCTAGGTAAATACCCCAAAGAACTGAAATCAGGGACTCAGATACTTGGATACCAATGTTCACAGCAGCATTATTCACAATAGTCAAATGTGGTAACAACTCAAGTGTCCATGAACAGATGAGCAGATAAACAAATTGTGGCATATACATAATGGGATATTTTTCATCTTTAATATGGAATGAAATTCTGATACATACTACAACATGAGAACTTCAAAAATATTATGCTAAGTGAAGTAAGTCAGACACAAAAGGACAAATATTGTCTGATTCTACTTAATAAGGTAATTAGAATAGGCAAATTCATAAAAACAGAAAGGAGAACAGAGGTTACTAGGGGCTGGAAGGATTAGGTGAAGGAGTTATTGCTTAATGGGAACTGAGTTCTGTGTGGAATGACAAAAAAGTTCTGGAAATGGATGGTGGTGATGGCTGCACAACGTTGTGAATGTACTTAATGCCAGTGAATTGTAAACTTAAAAATCATTAAAATGGTAGATTTTATTTATGTATATTTTACCACAATAAAAGTGTAAAGGGCCTCAAAAATAATCAATATAAAATAAAAGTAATAATGTAAGGATGTATATGTATAATATGTATAAATGTAATAATGTATTATGGGGTTCATAATACTCGTAGATGTGAAATGAGTGACCACAGTAGCACAAAGGCTGTTTTTAGCGCCCAGAAGTACAGAATCATGAGGTGCCTGTGGTGTGTACAAGGTGGCCTAATCCTGCTTGAGGATGGGCTGTGATGAGTTAAAAATACGTATTAGAAACCCTAAAGCAACCACTAAAAACAAAGTTCTAGCTAATAAGCTAACAAAGCCTATAAAACAAAATGGAATCATGAAACATACCCAACTAATCCAAAAGATGGCAGAAAAAAAGAAAAGGCAACAAAGAACAGATAAGATGAACAGAAAACAAATAGCACGATGGTTGATTTAAATTCAAACATATCAATAACCAGAATATACTCTTAACACCCCAACTAAAATGTAGAAATTGTCAGGTTTTTTAAAAAGCAAGACCTAACTAGATGTTGCTTTAAAAAAACTTAAAGAAGTGCTCGCTTCGGCAGCACATATACTAAAAAAACTTAAAGAAAAACAGATAGGTTAAAAGTAAAAGGATGAAAACAGACCATGCAAACACTAATCAGAAGAAAGCAGGGGTGGCTGTGTTAATATCAGACAAAATAGGTTTTTTTTTTCTTCAGACAAAATAGATTCCTGAACAAAGAGCATCACCAGGGTTAAAGAAGGTTATTCATAATGATAAAGGGGTCAACTCAGCGAGAGGACATAAGAATCCAAAAGGTTTATACACAATAATAGAGCTTAAAAGTACATGAAGCAAAATCCAATAGAAAGCATGGATATGTAGACAAATTCATAATTATAGCCACAGATTTCTCAATCACTGATGAAGCAATAGGTGGAAAAATCAGTAAATATAGAGAAGAGTTAAACAATATCATCAACCAACTTAACCTAATTGACAGTTGCAGAATACTCACCCTAGCAAAATGCACATTCTTTTCAAGTGTACATGGAACATTCACCAATCAAATCATACAATATATGTTCTCTGATCAAAAAAGGAATTAAATTTGAAATAAGTACCAGAGGATATAAGGAAAATCCCCAAATATTTGGAAATTTAATGAAATACTTTCAAATAACCCATGGGTCAAAAAAGAAACAACAAGGATAGTTAGAGTTTACACTGAATTAAAATGAAACACAACAGGGCGCCTAGTTCAGTCAGTAGAGCATGCAGCTCTTGATCTCAGAGTCGTGAGTTCAAGCCCCACACTGGGCATGGGGTCTACTTAAAAAAATTAAAAATAAAAATGAATGAAAACACAACATACCAATATTAGGGGCTAACGCAGTACTCAGGGGGAAATGCAGATTCTAAATGCCTATGTTAGAAAGAAGAAAGGCTTCAAATGAACATCTTCCACATACTAAAGAAATTAGAAAAAGAAGAGCAGAGGTGCCTGGATGGTGCAGTTGGTTGAGCAAACAGCTCTTGGTTTCAGCTCAGGTCCTGATCTCATCAGGGTCATGAGATCCAGCCCCACGTCCAGCTCCAAACTCAGTGCAGAGTCTGCTTTACACTCTGTCTCCCTCTGCCCCCTGCTCCTGCTCTCTTTCTCTCTCTCTAACAAATAAATAAATCTTAAAAAAAAGAAAGAGAAGAGCAAATGAAACTAAAGGTTCGCTAAAAAAGAAACAGATAAACCTAAACAGACTTATATTTATTAAACAAACTTAATATGTAGTTTAAAGTCTTCCTTAAAACTCTGGACCCCAGTGCCTTCACTGGTGTACCCGACCAAACACCTAAGGAAGAAATAATACCAATTCTTTTCTTTTTTATTAACATATAATGTATTATTTGTTTCAAGGGTACAGGTCTGTGATTCATCAGCCTTACACAATTCACAGCACTCACCATAACACATACCCTCCCCAATGTCCATCACCCAGACACCCCATCCCTCTCACCCCCCAATAATACCAATTCTATACAAACTCAGAAAATTAAAGGAGAGAGAATACTTCCCAACTCATTTTGTGAGCCCAGAATTACCTTGATACTAAAATCAGAGAAAGACATTGTAAGGCATGAAAACTACAGACCAATATCCCTCATGCACATATATGCAAAAAGGTCTTTATATTTTAGCAAATCAAATTAAATATTACATAAAATAGGGGCGCCTGGGTGGCTCAGTCATTAAGCGTCTGCCTTTGGCTCGGGTCGTGGTCCCAGGGTCCTGGGATCGAGCCTCACATCGGGCTCCCTGCTCCATGGGGAGGCCTGCTTCTCCCTCTCCCACTCCCCTGCTTGTGTTCCCTCTCCTGTTATGTCTCTCTCTGTCAAGTAAATAAATAAAATATTTAAAAAAATAAATAAATATTACATAAAATAGATAATACTTCAAGTGAGGTCTATCTCAGAAATGCATGGTTGATTTAAAACTTGAAAATCAGGGCACCTGGGTGGCTCAGTCAGTTAAGCGTTTGCCTTTGGCTCAGGTCATGATCCCGGGGTCCTGGGATTGAGCCCCACATTGAGCTCCCTTCTCAGTGGGGAGCCTGCTCCCTCTTCTCCCTCTCTCTCTGCCTGCTGCTCTGCCTTCTTATGTGCTCCCTCTCTCTTTCTCTGTCAAATAAATAAATAAAATATTTTAAAAAATAAAACTTGAAAATCAGAGGTGCCTGTGTGGCTCAGTCAGTTAAGTGTCTGACTTTGGCTCAGGTCATGATCTTAGGGTCCTGGGATCAAGAGCCCTGCCCCTGGCTCCATGCTCAGCAGAGAGTCTGCTTCACTCTCTCCCTCTACCCTTCCCGCAGCTCATGCTCTCTCTGTCTCTCTCTCTCTCAAATAAATAAACAAAATCTTTAAAATAAAACTTGAAAATCAATCTTAGTAATTCACCACATGAACAAAAAAGGAAAAACCATATGATGACTTTAATAGGTAGAGAAAATGCTATAGACAAAATCCAACATCTACTCCTGATTTAAAAGAAAAACAACCAAAAAACCCTAGGGGCACCTATGTGGCTCAGTCAGTTAAGCATCTGCCTTCGACTCAGGTCATGATCCCAGGGTCCTGGGATCCAGCCCCACATCTGGCTCCCTACTCAGTAGGGAGCCTGCTTCTCCCTCTCCCTCTGCCCCCCGGCTCATCTCTCTCACTCTCTCTATCTCAGATAAATAAATAAAATCTTAAAAAAAAAAACAAACTGTCAGCAAGCTAGGACTAGGAGAAAATTTCCTCAATCTGAAAGGTCAGCAAAAAAAATCTATAGCCAATATCATATTTAATGTTAAGAAATGGAATGTTTTCTCCCTAAGTTCAGGAATAAGGCAAGAATGTCCACTCTCATCACTTCTATTCTAAATTTACTGGAAGTTCTGGCCAAGGCAACAAGTCAAGAAAAAAAAGAAAAAAGAAAAGGGATCTGTATATATGTTCCAGCTATAGAGCTCAGACTGTTTCGGCTTGCACAGCACCTCAGGAGAGGAAAGAATATATGAATAGGGAATATTGCCATCCAGGTGGCTTTAGGGTTCTGAGGAGTAGAGAAGGATGGCACGGGGGAGGTCTGGATGGATCTAATTTGTGTAGGAGTTCCCCATAGATAAATTACTGATCCCCCAACTACTATCTCCCAGGATGTAATGGCTGAATTAATATGTAATCAACTGCACTGTAACTAAGGCAAGTGCATGCCCCACCCGATACCATTTCTTACCCTCTAATCCTACCTGATCTTTAACAAATCATTAATAATTCTAAGGATAATCTCTATTTTGTTGTGCTTTTTTGTAACTTTTAAATAAATCAGTTTATAGTGGAAGGAAGGAAGGAAGGAAGGAAGGGAGGGAGGGAAGGAAGGAAGGAAGGAAGGAAGGATCCATGTAGAAAATGAAGAAGTAAAATAATTGCTTTTATTTGCACGTGAGGGGGGCCTGGCTGCCTCCATCAGAAGAGCATGCGACTCTTGATCTCAGGGTTGTGAGTTTGAGCCCCACATTGGGTGTAGAGATAGAATAAATCAACTTTAAAAAAATAAAAAAATATTCACAGGTATCCTGACCACCTATATAGATAATTCTATGGACCCTACCAAAAAAGCTAAAAGAATAAGTGAGTTTAGTAAGGTTCTAGGATATAAGAACACTACACAAAATCAATTTTATATTCCAGCAATGAATAACCAGAAATTTACATTTTAAAAACAATACCATTTATGACAGCATCAAAAAAATACGAAATACTTAGAAATCAATTTGACAAAAGATATGTAAATCCTGAGCACTGAAAACTATACAACACTGCTGAAAGAAATTACGGAAGAACTAAATAAACGATGAGATACCTCATTTTTCTGGACTGTAAAGACTCAAAATTGTTAATAACATCAATTTTTCTTAAATTAATATATCAACTAAATGCAATCCAAATCAAAATTCTAGCAGACATTTTGTAGATGTTGAGAAGCTGATTTTAAAACTTATTTGAAAATGCAAAGTACCGAGAGGAGCCAAACTATTTTTGTAAAAGAAGAACAAAGTTGAAGAATGTATAACACTTAGTTTCAAGACTTATTATAAAGATATGACAATCAAGCAGTGTGGTAGTAAATAAATATAGACAAACATCAGTGGATCAGAACACAGAGTCCAGACGCAGACCCACAAAATCTCAAAAGTAATCAATCAGAAAAGGACAATCTTTTCAACAAATGGTGCTGGAATAACCTCACACCATAATTAAATATGGATCATAGACCTAAATATAAGAGATAAAACTTTTAGCAGAAAACACAGAAGAAAATCTTATGAGTGAGATATGTCTTCAGCTTGGGAAAGACTTCTTAAATATGTCAAAATAAACATTAAGTATAAGAAAAATAAATACATCACATTTCAACAAAAAAACTTTAGCTCTTTAAAAATAAACTTTCTTAAGCAAATAACAAGCGAAAATTGGGAGAAAATATTTGCAAAACACATATTAACAAAAGAGAACATGTACAACTCTATAATTAGGAGATATAGTACTCAATTTTTAAAAAGGGCAAAATGTTTGAACAGGCACTTTCCCAAAGAAAGTATATGGATGGCAAATAAACACTTTTACAGTGCTCAAAAGTCATTAGTCACTAGGGAAATGCAAATGAAATCCCAAGCACCATCTCACAAGAATGGCCAAACATAAAAATTAAAGCATTGGTGAGGATGTAGAGAAAGTGGAACTCTCATACACTGTTGCTGGGAATGTAAAATGGTGCACCTCCTTTGGAAAACGGTTTGGCAGTTTCTTAAAAAGTTAAACGTACACCTATCATACGACCGAGGCATTTCATTCCAGGTATGTACTTAAGGGAAATGAAACTATATGTGCATATCATGACTTGTATACAAATGTTCTTAGCTTTATCTGAATAGCCCAAAACTGGAAACAACCCAGATGTCCATCAATAGATGACTAAATATACAGATTGTGATGTATCCATACAACGGGATACTACTCAACAATAAAAAGAAATAAACACCTGATACGTGCAGCAACGTGGGTGAATCTCAAAATAACTAGGAAAAGGAATGTGGCGCCAGGGTGGCTCAGTCGTTAAGCATCTGCCTTCGGCTCAGGTCATGATCCCGGGGTCCGGGGATCGAGCCCCGCATCGGGCTCCCTGCTCCACAGGAAACCTGCTTCTCCCTCTCCCACACCCCCTGCTTGTGTTCCCTCTCTTGCTGTGTCTCTCTCTGTCAAATAAATAAATAAAATCTTAAAAAAAAAAATCTAGGAAAATGAAAGAAGCTTGGCAAAAAGAGCACATACTGAATTATTCCATTTATGTATGGAATCAAATGCAAACTAAAACTACAGTGCCGAGAAGCAGATCAATAGTTGCCTTGGGATAGGGAGGAGCACAAGGGAGGGATTTCAAAAGGGTACAGTGCAGGAAACTTTTGGAGGTGACGGACTTGTTCATTTTCTTAATTATAGTGATAGTTTCAAGGTTATATGCATATGTCAATTGCACGGTTTTTTTGCAAAATGAATTAAAAAAATTTTTTTTACTTGAGTATAGTTGACACACAATGTTACATTGGTTTCAGTTGTATAACATAGTGATTCAACTTCTTTACATGTTAGGCTCACAAGTAGAGCTACCATCTGTCACCATACAATGCTATTACCATTGGCTATATTCCCTATGCTTTTGTTCCTGTAACTTATTCATTCCATAACTGGAAGACTATATCTCCCACTCCCCTTCCCCCATTTTGCCCATCCCTCCAACCCCCTCTTCTCTGGCAACCATCAGTTTGTTCTCTGTACTTGTAAGTCTGATTCCTCTGTTTGTTTATTCATTTTTTTTTTTTTTTTGCTTTTTAGATTCTACATATGAGTGAAATCATATGGTATTTGTCTTTCTCCGTCTAATTTCACTCAGCATAATACCCTTTAGGTCTATCCATGTTGTAGCAAATGGCACGATCTCATCCTTTTTATGGCTGTGTAATGTTCCACTGCATAAATATACCACATATTCCCTATTCATTCACCTATTGATGAACACTTAGGTTGCTTCCATGTCTTTGCTATTGTACATAATGGTGTGATATACATAAGGGTCGACTGTACTTTTTAAATAAGTACAGTTTTATTGTATATCAATATACTTTTAAAATTTATAAAAATTTAATGAAAGACAGTTGGGTGAGAAAACACCATTCCTATGTCTCATCCTTAAATTTTTTTGACAATGTCTCAGTAGAATTTAAGAAATAGTAAAGAAAATGTGATACTTACTTGAGAAAGTCTGTCTCTCTTTGAATTCTCATGATCTCCGTGCTTGTCAAACTCTTCTGGCCAGTTATGTGTGCAAAACTAGGGAACTACAATTAAGGTCCATATAAAATCACAGTAAAAGCTATGTACAGTAAAATTTCATTTTAATGTGTTGTCTTACCATATCCAGCACTCATCTTTTGAGAACCACGATGGGAGAATCATAAGTAATGATTACCCCAGGACCCAACATTAAAAAGATTAGAATGCTATCATGATTAGGTACGTATATTTCATTAAAAACAGAGTTTACAAGAAAAGATATCTGAATTTACCATCAGACAGACCAGAGTTTAGAATTTAAAAACCTAAGTTGCCCTCTATTTTTCTCAAAGATTACATCCCCAGGACTCAAAGATTCACCTAAAAGAACATATGCAGCAACTGTCTGCTGTTATCCAAAAACATTTAACTCATTTGATATATTTTTATTTGAGCATTCACTTTGTACCAGGCACTGTGTTTGACATAGGGAGGGGGGACAAAGATAAATACTACACGGTCCCTACCCTTTAGGAGCTGAACTGGTGGACACACAAAATACTGAAACACTGTGGTTTGCATTTGTGTTGAGTCCCATGGGACCCTAGAAGAGAAAATAACCACATTCACTTGCTCCAGGGGAGAGAGGCTTCCTAGGATGTTAACACCTGAGCTGGGCCTGGGAAAGTAAAAAAAAGGTTTGTCAAACGGACAGAAGACAATGGGAATCCCAAGCAGAGGAAACCCCTTTGCAAAGGCACAGTGGTAGGGCAGTGCTTGGCCTATCCTGGGGCTGAGGGGTGTGACGTGCTTTAGACGTCTGAGTAGCTGCAGAAGGAACATGGAGGGGAGGAGCTATCCCTTAAGAAGGGTCTGACACCTGCTAAAATGGTATTATGTAGTCATTATCTCCTTAACATTTCACAATGATCTTATGAGGTGAGTAATATTATCCTCATTTAAAAATTTTTTGTAATATTTTATTTTGATATAATTTTGAACTTACAGAAAAGTTGCAAGGAGAGTACAAATAACTCCTGCATACCCAGCTTGACCAGTTTTTCATGTTAACATTTTGCTCAGTGCACCTTCTCTCTCTCCCTGAATCACGTGAGAATGAGCAGCAGTTACAATGCCCTTCTGCCCCTACATACTTGAGTGTGCACGACCTAAGAATTAGGATGTCCTCTTACATGACAATGCAATTATCAAAACCAGAAAAGTTAATGGCTACACAATAATGCTATGATCTAATCCCCAGATCTTTATTCAAATGTCATTGTTCCTACCAATGATGTCCTTCACACTATATATTATTTTTCCTGGTCTAGGATCCAGTCCAGTGTCACACTGTGCATTTAGTTGTCAAGTCTCTTTTGTCTCCTTTAACCTGGAATTGTTCCTCAGTCTGTCTGTATCTTTCATGATCTTGACATGTTTGAAGAGTAATGGGTCATTTAATCTGTAGAATCTCCATTAATTTGGTTTTGTCTGATGTTTCCTCATGATTGGATTCAGGCATGCATTTTGGCACAAATATGAGGGAAATGATATTGTGTCCATCTCAGTGCCTCACACCAAGAGGCACATATAATCCCCATTTTTGTTTCCCTTGCCTTTGAAGACATGTCTAGCAAGAAGTTGCTGAGGCCAAGGTCAAGGAGGTTGCTGCCTATGTTCTCCTCTAGGACTTTGATGGATTCCTGTCTCACATTTACGTCTTTCATTCATTTTGAGTTTATCTTTGTGTATGGTGTAAGAAAATGGTCCAGTTTCATTCTTCTGCATGTGGCTGTCCAATTTTCCCAACACCATTTGTTGAAGACACTGTCTTTTTTCCATTGGATATTCTTTCCAGCTTTGTCAAGGATTAGTTGACCATAAAGCTGAGGGTCCATGACTGGGTTCTCTATTCTGTTGCACTGATCTATGTGTCTGTTTTTGTGCCAGTACCATATTGTCTTGATGATTACAGCTTTGTAGTAGAGCTTGAAGTCCGGAATTGTGATGCTGCCAGCTTTTGTTTTCTTTTTCAACATTCCTCTAGCTATTCAGGGTCTTTTCTGGTTCTAGTCAAATTTTAGGATTATTTGTTCCAGCTCTGTGAAAAATATTGATGGTATTTTGATAGGGATTGCATTGAATGTGTAGATTGTTCTGGATAGCATAGACATTTTAACAATATTTTTCTTGGAGAGAAGTGGGTGAGGGGATGGGGTAACTGGGTGATGGGCATTAAGGAGGGCACTTGATGTAATAAGCATTGTAATATGCGACTGATGCATCACTAAACTCTACCTCTGAAACTAAACATAATCATCATCATCCCCATTTTTGAGATGAAGATGCTGAGGCTCAGAAAGGTTGAGTCACTTGCATGAGGTCATGTCAACAGTATGTGAACTATCTCACATATCCAGGCCTCTCTGACCCCAGTAGGGTCCCTGTCCACCATAATAACTATGGGCTGAGCTTAGGACTCCAGAATTTATGCTTTAGGCAATGGGGAGCAGTCAGAGGTTTTGAGTTGCTTTTGTGTCAGATCTAACATAGCATAGACAAAGTGGTGGTCTACTGGCCAAATCTGGCCTGCCATTGAGTTTCATTTGGCCCATATATATTGGTCCACACAGCGTTTCAAAATTCAATTTAATTGTTAACATTTAAAATTAGGTTATAACACATAAAGATGCAGGTTTCTGGATTTTCTTGCAAAATCATAAGATGTGGCAATACTGAGTCTGTAGGCCTTCTTGTCCATAGCTGACTGGAGCTAAGTAGAGATAACTAACCCATTGAGCTGACTCAGGCATTCCATGTTGCCAGAGAACCCCTGACTCATGCCCTGAAACTAAAGCCCCGTGTCAGCTGTCATTTGTCTTCCACCCAGGTTTTACAACACATTTACTCTGCTGCCTAGCCCCTAATGGCGCCCCCAGGTCAGATGCTTAGTTCAGAGACATCTTGTCTCCCCGGTGGTTGTTGACATGTTGTAATACCCAGCATCATTAATTCTGATGTTTGCTGAAGTATGCTTCAGATGGGATTTAGCTGGAATAATGACAAGAATCTCTTACCAACAGGAATAAAAAGAGTAGAAGATAAACGTTTTGCGGTCATTTTCTGGCCCCCTTGGTTCTCTGATTTCTAGTCAAATTCCCCGAATGTGTCCCCATGTTCCTAGTTTTGGGGTATTCTAAATCTTGGAATCTTTACATATTGTCTCATTCTATCTTTCCTTTTGAAACAACTCTTAAATAACTAGGTGGGCAAGGTAATCCAAATATTCATACACAAAGAAAATCAATCACTCTTTCTGGACACATTACAGATTATTATGGTCACGTGAGAATGTTTTCCAAAAATAGTTATGATTGCATTTTGTCATATACCATTCATTCTTCAAAATGATATTTTTCTATCTCAAAGCCAGTATTCTTATATACTACACTGGCTACACTGGGGAGCACTGCTTACAGGAGTTGAGTGCTTATTAGTCTATTTGGTAACCAGGGAATCATTCTTCCAGAAGACTGAGAAGGGCAATCTTCTATTGCAGGGATGGTTGTCCTTTTGTTTACTGAGATTTTCAGGAAGGCCTTACTAGGTCAGTGGTCCTCTGGCCTGGGCTTTGTGACCCTCCAGGAAATACAGTCAGTGGGCTCATAGAAGAACCCGGGAGGTCACACTGAGTTACCCTACAGCACTAGAGACTGGAAATGAAGAAAAGGATTTGACTTTGAGATAAGGATAGTTGGTCTTCTAGGCCAGGGATGCTCAGACTGAGCTGATTACCAAAATCTTTCAGGAACTCCATCCCAGGCTTATGGGATCAGATTACCTAAAAGGATTGTAGGAAGGTGTAGCTGGGAGTGCATATATATTTAAAGTTCCCCCAGGTGATTCTGATGTACAACCAGGTGTGAGGGTCATACCTTTTTTATACTTGATGGTAAGTGTGAGCAGCCTTGGGATCAGAGGTACACCAGGAGCAGTTGTGGGTGGCTAGAAAATGTGATTCCAGGTACACTCTATCTAGGGCTCACAATTGGAGGAAGAGAGCAAGGGCTCTTGGGTTGCCCTTAGATGCCAAAAGTCTAGATTGGATTTTATAAACACTGAAAAATCTGAGTGCTCGAATAGTTGTAGTAGGCAACTAGGATAAGAGAATCTTTGTGTTATACAGTAATTAAGTAATTAAGTATTTAGGTTGTAAATCACCTCCAAATCGAATGGGCAAGTCCCTGTCCTTGTCTAATTTGAAACCCTGGTAACATTTGACATATATGTGTACTTCTCCTTGAAACTCTTTCTTCTTTTGACTTCTATGGCACCACTTTTTTTTTCCTTTGGCTTTCTTCCTTCTTCTCAGGCTCTTCCTCCTCTGTTCAACCTCTAAGTCAAGGATTTTGTCTTGTGCCATCTACTCTTCATCTTCTGTACCCTGTCAGCAAGTAATCTCATTCAGACCCAAGCTTTAAACACCATCTATATATTGAATATTTCTAAATATATATCTGTGGCCCTGACCTCTTCCCTGAGGTTGAACTTGCACATCCAACAGTCTACTTGAGACATCCAGATAGATGTCTAATGAGTCCTTTCATACCTGCTTCTCCCTGATCTTCCCCATCTCAGTTAATAGCACCACCATCTCTAGATGTCCAGGCCAGAACCCAGAGTCAACTTTGGCTCCTCCCTGTCCGTTTTCCCATCCATCTGATCCTTCAGCCAAACCTGGTGTCTCTTCCTCCAAAACATATCTGGATTCCCATGCCTCCTACCATCACCACTTCTACAACCTTGGTCCAAGCCACCATCATCTCTCCCCTGGAGCAAAAACCTTCTAAATGATACTCCCCTCCTATTCCTTTACAGCTTAATCTCCATACTGTGGCCGAAGAGAAAAATTTTAAATGCAAATGATATCCTGTCTTACCTTCCAAATAGATTCCCTTTACAATTAGAGGAAAATCCAAACTCCTTGCTATAGGCCTCAAGATCCTAGCATCTGTGATTCTCAACTATGCCTGTCCATCAGGAATCACTTGTGGGTGAATTTTATTTAATTTTTTTAAAGATTTATTATTTTTTTGAGAGAGAGAGCACGCGCATGCGAACGCACATGCACATGAGCTGGGAGGGGAGGGGCACAAGGAGAGGGATAAGCAGGCTTCCCGCTGAGCAGGGAGCCCAACTCAGGGCCCCATCCCAGGACCGTGGGATCATGACCTGAGCCAAAGGCAGATGCTTAACCGACTGAGCCACCCAGGTGCCCACTATTTTAACATTTTTGATTGATGACTTAACATGTTTATTATCTGCATGCCCCACTCCCAATAAAATGTAAGCTTCTGAGTACAGGGGACTTTCTTGTCCAACACACTATTCCCAGGACTAAAACAGTGCCTGGCACATGGTGAAAAGGCTAGGAGATACTGACTTAAAAGTATTTCATGGGAAGATTAAGAATATAGGAGGTATTTAGTACCATAAAGATTTTCTTTAGAAGTTACCTGAGACTGGCAGGTGGGTGGTCTAGAACCTGATTCTTCATGGTAAGGTGGGATTTCCAGTGGACTCTCTGAGAAACGAAGATCTTTCCATGTTTTAGAGTCAGTTCTTTCACCTACCTCAAGGTCTACAATTATTTAAAAAAAAAATCATTCTGTGAACATCTGTAATTATATGTGTAATTATGCAAATATGTCTTCATAGGTAGAAACCTTTTTAGGGACCACTGTCATCACATCTTTAACTAGACATAGCAACTATATAAAGAAGCCCCCACTCGCTGAACTAACACTGGGAAAGAAAAAATTAACCTGGAGTGAGAAAATAAAAATCTGCCCTGCTACATTCTATAACATTCCACATCAGGCTGAGAAAATAGATAAATCCAATGGCAAGGTTAGCAGGAAACATTATTTCTCTCAAGGACACACCGAAGCTGTAAAATGTCATAACAGCCCCCCACCCTTCTTTGGGTTGCTACTGTTTCCACATTTATTTTTATAGTTTCCAAGGTGAACAAAACCCTGGTTCCCTTTGCAATCCATAGCTGATGGTGCCAGTTCACATGCAGCCCTGCTTTGCTTCGAGTCTGTCAAAACTCCGCTCTCATTTAAATTTCACCCAGACTCCACCTGTCCCCCAAGCCCTATAACCTTGTCTTTTCCTTTGTTTGGTGTGATGCCCCACGGTTCTTCTGCAGGGTGGTCTCCCCTGTTGCAACGAGTTAACAAATCTCACTTTGTTGGACTCCTTGATAATCCCTCTTGGTCTTAAGCTGTTATCGAGGACAGCACTAAGATTATAACTTACTTTTCTATTCCAGTGTTTCTTATTCCAACCCTTCTGCAGACAAGAACATAAGCAGTGAACCCATTTGGTGGCTTAGAATATTAAACCTCATCTTCATTCTTCCATGTCATACCTGCAGACTTTCTAAGGTTAACATTCCAATGCTGTTTATTTTCAGCATTCTTATATTTCTTCCATAGTTTTGATCCCACGAATCCATTTTTCAATTCCTAGGAATGAAGAGATCGCATGTCAATCACTTGATCACACCCATTTGCAATGTGAATATGAAAAGTTGCCAGGTAGAGACAATGTCATAGTGTGCCCTTCTTACTTGAAAGGGTTTACAATAGTTTTTACAAAATGACCTCTGTTTCACCTTACTCTGGAAACACACAGCTTTTATCTGGGCCGCTTGGCTGGTAGCATGTCTGGTTGGTAGGCTCCACCAGGCAAGCAGCAGGCAGCAGGACATGAAGGCAGGATGTTACAGTCATGGGAGTCTGGGGAATAACAAAGGGACCACCAGATCCAGGAGGCAAATAAAAGGTGGGGTCAGACCAAGATAGACTTAACCACACTACCTGCCCATGCACAGTCCTTATAATCTTCTCCATGGACTTTCTTCCCCATGGACTCAGTCCCTTATGCCTGATTCAAGCCTGAGCACCTACTGACCCAAGTTGGCCCAGCCTCTGCTGGATACCCCTGCCCATGGCAGATCGCTGTCCTGATCATACTTGAGCCCCACACTATGCCTGTACCCACTGCTCTGGTCCCACAGCCACCTCTGGACTCTGGTCCATCCTTGGGCTAAAGGGATTCCTTCCCAAACTTCTGGTCATCCCCATCAAGACCTCCATGACTAAGACTTTTTGGTTGATTGCCTTACCATGAGCTAGCCCATCCTCTGGCCCTCGGATCTGTCTCACTGGTGCTCAAAGCCCAGGGACTGAAGTTTCAAACATCCTTGTAGATAAGTCTAGTTCAACCTCCAAAGAGGCAAGGCTTTGAGCTTTTCAGGGATGAAGATTTCAACACAATGAATGGCTATGGTCACAGAGGGTTTCTACTAGTCTGATGTATCTGTTCAACAAATATACACTCACTGCCCTCTACAGCCTACCTCTGTGCAAGGCAATGAGTATGGCAGACATGCTCTCTGCCACCTTAGAACTTACCCTGCCTGGGGAAGGTAGACGATGAGCAAAGTAATCACATATTCAAAGCACCATATAAAAGGAGAAGGCCTGAATGCTGGGGGAGCAGTGATGGAACACAGCATACACAGTGTAGTTTGGCTGGAGTAATATACAGAGGAGTCACAGAGCAAAAAAGGATGACTGAAGACAGAAACTGATCACTTTCTTCAATAGTAAGTTCCACTGAAGACAATGGAACATGGGCCATGATGCTGGGGAGGAATTTCTAATGTGCAGGATGGACTGACCAACAGGCAGGAAATCACTTTGCCATGGTGGCTACTGACCTCAATTATAAGAACCTATGAGCACAAGTGACGAAATGAAAGAGAAGATGGGAATCTTCTCTGAGAAAAGAAGGAACCAAGAATGTGGTGACCATCTGAAAGTGTTACAGTTTCATTACTTGCCTGTTTGGAAGAATCTTTGAGAACATTTTCAACATGGTTTTCTGAAGAGACTGTATTTGGTGGCTCATAGCCCACCTGAAACACCTTTGTTACAATGCTACTCTGTCTGCAGTCCCTGAAAATTATTCAAAATAGAAAAAGTGTTACATGAAGCTTCAAAGAAAAGACAGCTATCTTGAATAACCATGCTGCCAGCCACACCACTTGATAAAGAACCAGGACACTACCACCTTCAACCCCACCACCACCCCACTCTGAGTTTCCTTGGTTGGTTTCCATAAATTACCATTTGGGCCCCTAGTTTGTTTGTTTGTTTTTCTCTTCCCAGGCTTGAAATTCCTGCTCTTATGTTTTAAATTAACCAATGAAGAGCGAGACCAAGAGACCCTAGGCCCCCACCCTCAACCCCAATAAAAGCAGAACCCCAGGCCCATGAACTCTCTCTCTCTCTCTCTACTGGTGACCTTGTTGTGTGGCCTCAGGTATGCTATGTAATTTCTAAGACCTGTAAGTAATAAACCTTGTCTCTGAGAGTTTCCTGATGGTTCCTGCTGAGGATGTCTTGCAGCCATGCTAAGAACCACAAGGGCCAATCTAGCCACAACACTGGTTACTGATGGGCTGAGGCCGGCACACGATAGTCTTCATGTGGACATGTTTTCATTTCTCTTGAATAGATATACAGGAGAGGAATTGCTGGGTCATGTGGTATCTCTAACTTTTTAGAAACTGCTAAACTGTGGTTGTTCCATTTTACATTCCCACCAGCATTATCTGAAGTTTCCAGTTTCTCCACATACGCATAAACATTGATATTGTCAGCTTTTTTTGATCACCTGTACTCTTGATTATGTTCTCTGTAGGCATTTGCTTGTGCTGTGTCCCTAGAGTATGGGGATATGGGCTTGGCTGTTGGAACACAGAATCAAAACAATAGTGGCTTAAACTAGAGAGAATCAACAGGGTATAATCAGCCCAGAGCTGGTACAGAGGTGCCATGGTGATGGGGGCATGGTGTCAAGTTTCAACCTCATTGCTCCATCTCTAGGACCTTGAACTTGTCTTCATGACCCAACATGGCTGGCCACATCCACATTCCAGCCAGTGGGAAGCAGGGACCACCTCTTCCCTTTAAGGGCACAATCCAGAAGTTGCACACATCACTTTCACATACACCTCACTGGCCACACCTGGTGATATGGCTCTTGACAGTTGCAAGGAGGATTGGGAAATATCTTTCTTTCAGGCAACCATGTGTCCGGCTAAAAATCATGGGCTCTATTATTCTAGAAGAAGGGAAACACAGATACTGGGGGACAGCCACCAGCCTCCAATGGTCATAATGACCATGCGTCAGATTTAATATTTTTAACTCTCATGCCCACTAATTTGTGTTGAAAGCTCACAGCTGGAACACAGGTGATTCTGTGTGAATTCTATTCTGCCCAGGGACTTAATTCTTTTTCCATTTCCATTCTCTTCTTTCTTTTGTGTTCTTTGTCTGCTTTGCTCTTATTGATTTTCATATTGGTCTGTGATACATTTCATGTTTCATTAGCCTTTCTTTTGCAATTTCTCAGATCCCTCACATGTCAGATTTTTAATATTTCTTAAAAATTTTGAAGCTTTAAGTAAATAAGTGTCGCAAAATACTTTAAGTTCTTTGATTAAGTAAATATTTATAAATGCATAAACATCAATTCCAAAACAGTTGAGAAATGTTTAACGTGAAGCAATAAGGAAGTTTCAAGCTACATTTCTAGAAGAAAAAAATGATCAGAAATACACAATTCATCTCAATTGCCACTATCTATCAGTGTGTAATAATATTTAAACTACATGTTCACTGGCTGGAGTGATTTATGGGTAGCTAAACTTTGGGGAAGCACAAAGTTTTGTTTTCCTTTGTTTTGTTCTTAATTACAAAACCAGTTTTACAGTTACAGGAATCTGGATACAGATACAGATGATCTTTTAGATGAACTGCTTACTTAACTCATTCACCTCAACATCCATCTCACCTAAATGTTCATCTTTGGTCCCAGGTCTGTCACCCAAGATACAGTTGTCCTCATAGCTAGCATACTTCCTAGACACCACAAACATCTCTATCCAGGGATCCTTTAAATCCTGGATAATCGTGGGGCTCCCTGAAATGTGCGCTTCTAGCCCCACCATCACACTAAGCTGAAGCCTGACTCCCATCCACTTGCTCTACTCCTGGAAGGTACAGGTTGTCTCTCCAACCACATCTGGCCCCTTCCATGGGGACCCAGTCAGGGCTCTCACCCGTGGACTTTGTTCCCTCCATGAGGAGCCCAGAAACTAGCTTCAACTGCCTGCTAAGTAGAAGGATTCCTGATTGTGGTATCAAAAAAGGCTTAAGTTTAGGGTTGGAGCTAGAAATCATACTCAGCCCAAATCTCATTTAAACACACATAAATTGGGGTGCCTGGGTGGCTCAGTCAAGCGTCTGCCTTCAGCTCAGGTCATGATCCCAGGGTCCTGGGATCGAGCCCCACATCGGGTTCCCTGCTCTGTGGGAAGCCTGCTTCTCCCTCTCCCATTCTCCCTACTTGTGTTCCCTCTCTCATTGTGTCTCTCTCTGTCAAATAACTAAATAAATAAATCTTAAAAAAATAAAAATAAAAATAAATAAACATAAATTTTTGCTAGGATTGAAATCAGAGGCCTTAAATATATATCTTTAGGAATAGCAATATAAGGTGCATTCAACATTAAAAAAGTTACTTGTAGCTCTAGCCCCACAATGATCACTATCCTCTCAATAAAACAGCAGAATTACTTGGATGATTGTAAGAATTAAGAAGCTGGATCTATAAGAATTCTGCAACTTGTCCAGGCCAGGTTTTCTCAATCTACTGAGAACTACTGAAATTTTAGGCTAGATAATACTTTGTTGTGGAAGGCTATCCTATGCTTAGATGTTTAGCGACATCCTTGACCTCCCCCCAGCAGATGCCACTAGCACACTCCCACTTCCAGATGTGACAACCAAAAATGTTTCCAGACATGACCAAATGTCCCCTTTAGGGCAAAATTATGCCCAACTGAGAACTTCTGGTTTAGGAACATGAAGGGGTTAAGTAGAACCCACTTACTCATGCAGGCATAGATTTTTCAAATACGAGGCATGCCCTTGAGTTGGGTCACACAACAGCAACCTGTTAGCCCCTTTGTTAAGAATGTGAATAACAACAAACAACAATAACAGCTACTACATGTGCAATGCCAAGTATATACTAAGTGTATCACCTCGATATTCACAATGGCTGCCAACTAAGTTTTATTAACCTCATTTAATGAATGAGAAAACCAAGAATCAGAACTTAATCAAGTTAATAAGTTCCTCTTATTCAATGAGGAGCAAGAGAACTGGGTTAAAGTCCAGATCTGAAGGCCAACAAACTCCATCCTCTGTCCCACACTCCAAACTACCCCTCTCAAAGCAGTGTTCTTCTTGTCTTTGTTGCTGCTATGGAGATGACATCCGGGTCTTACCTCCACACATTATATACTGCATGGGGCTGCAGATGGATGCCCGTGAGATGCCCTGGTAACCTGCCTATCAGTTTATCAACCATTGTTGTAAAACTGGTAAGTCCCCCATGAAAGAAAAATTATTGTTCTCAGGGGACTCTGACTCCCCCAGCTACCTACCTTCAGTTTGAGACAACTTTTACCTCAGCCCAGCTCAATTTATCTTGACCACCATATAAGGTAATTGACAGAGAAGGGAGAACCACACAAGTTCACTGTCAAAACACTGTAAAATGGCCAACAGACACATGAAAAAGTGCTCAACATCGCTCAGCATCAGGGAAATCCAAATCAAAACCTCAATGAGATACCCCCTCACACCAGTCAGAATGGCTAAAATTAACAAGTCAGAAAACGACAGATGTTGGCAGGGATGCGGCGAAAGGGGAACCCTCCTACACTGTTGGTGGGAATGCAAGCTGGTGCAACCACTCTGGAAAACAGTATGGAGGTTCCTCAAACAGTTGAAAATAGAGCTACCCTATGATCCAGCAATTGCACTACTGGGTATTTACCACAAAGATACAAATGTAGGGATCCGAAGGAGTACGTGCACCCTGATGTTTATAGCAGCAATGTCCACAATAGCCAAACTGGAAAGAGCCAAGATGTCCATTGACAGATGAATGGATAAAGAAGATGTGATATATATACACAATGGAATATTATGCAGCCATCAAAAGGAATGAGATCTTGCCATTTGCAACGACGTGGATGGAACTGGAGGGTGTTATGCTGAGTGAAATAAGTCAATCAGAGAAAGACATGTATCATATGACCTCACTGATATGAGGAATTCTTAATCTCAGGAAACAAACTGAGTGTTGCTGGAGTGGTGGGGGGTGGGAGGGATGGCGTGGCTGGGTGATAGACATTGGGGAGGGTACGTGCTATGGTGAGCGCTGTGAATTGTGCAAGACTGTTGAATCACAGATCTGTACTTCTGAAACAAATAATGCAATATATGTTAAGAAAAATGAAAAAGAAGAAGATAGCAGGAGGGGAAGAATGAAGGTGAGTAAGTCAGAGGGGGAGACGAACCATGAGAGACGATGGACTCTGAAAAACAAACTGAGGGTTCTAGAGGGTAGGAGGGTGGGGGATGGGTTAGCCTGGTGATGGGTATTAAAGAGGGCACATTCTGCGTGGAGCACTGGGTGTTATGCACAAACAATGAATCATGGAACACTACGTCAAAAACTAATGATGTAATGTATGGTGATTAACATAACAATAAAAAACACTATAAAATGATATCAAAGATAGGAAGTTCCTGACCATAAAGGTAGTTTTTAAAGAAACAAGATAGATGTCAGAAAGTTTACAGATCCTGGACTGGACCATTAATATGGACCATCAAAACCCAACACCTGGGGTGCATGGGTGTCTCAGTCGGTTAAATGTCTGACTCTTAATTCTCAGCTCAAGTTTTGACCTCAGGGTTGTGAGTTCAAACCCCGCATTGGGCTCCATGCTGGGCGTGGAGCCTAATTAAACAAAACAAGGTAAAACAAAACAACCCCGACACCCATTCCTGCTTGCTGAAATGTTCCCAAGTTCCCAGGTTCCCAAGTTCCCCACCCATCCCGTTCATCTGTGTTCTTTACTGACCATGTTCTGACGTGAAAATTCATGTATATGTATTTGGACCCATGAAAGCGCACATATGACAGTGTCCTTATTCCTTTTCTTTCATTCCAGAATATCAAACTTTAATAAAAACATATTTCAAAAAAGGTGGTATTGGTCAAATCTCTCTAAATGGAAACATCTTTTTTTTCCCCCATTAATGTGTCAGTTACCACCCTTGGTTGCATATTGGAATCATTAAGAAACTTTAAAAATACTGATGCCTGTGTCCCACCCCAAGACACTGTTATTTAGTTGGTCTGGAGTGTATGACCTGGCCCTGGAGATTCTGCAAAGCTCCCTCGGTGATTCTGATAGGAACCTCTGGTAGATTGTCATAATCACAGTCCCTGAGGTATTATGTCTTTTATCTATCTGCATGCCCTGGTGCCCTTGTGCCCTTGCAGAATCCCCTCACACATTGACTTTGAGTGTTGCCATGTGACTTGCTTTGGCCAGTGAAACATTAACAAATATGACACAAGCAGGGACTAGAAAAACATCTGCATATCCAGGCTTGCTATTTTTCTTACAGCTTTTGGAACTGAATGAAAAAACTCAGGTGACTTGGGTGGAGACTCAAGGCTCAGCCAACCACCAGCACCAACCACCAGAAATGTGACTCAGGTTTTTTAGACTCTCCAGCTCAAGGTGAGCCAAAAAAATAACTGCAGCCAGGTCAGGGACCTCAGGAAAGACCAGGAGAACAAGTACCCGGCTGAATGCACACCAAAATGCTGACAGGATAATGAGCAAATAAATGATTGTTCTTTTAAGACATTAAATGTCAGGGTTGTTGGTTATACAGCAATAGTCAACTGATTCAGCAGCCAAGGTTGAGAAGCACTGGTTACATAATAAGTTTGGAGATTCTTTATTATTTATATTTATTTATCACAAAAGCAAAGCTCACTGTTAAATTTTGGAAGCTACAAAAACTATCAACACAAACAACACAAACCATGACTAAATCACCAGAGGCAATGAATGTTGAAGTTGGGCTTGTTTGTTTTGTTTTCAAATGGCTTAATCATAAGAAGCAAACTAAAATCAGAGAGGGAGACAAACCGTGAGAGATTCTTAATCGTGGAAAACAAACTGAGGGTTGCTGGAGGGGAGGGGGGTGGGGGATGGTAACTGGGTGATGGGCATTAAGGAGGGCACACAATGTAATGAGCACTGAGTATTATATAAGACTGATGAATCACTGAGCTCTATCTCTGACACTAATAATACATTATATGTTAATTAACTGAATTTAAATTAAAAAAATTTTAAAAAGGAAAGCTTACAATAGAGAAGAATTACACGTGAGTACCTTTTGCAAACTGAGCTGGGACGGAAAGAGACTGGGGGGCTGCCCCTCAACCTGACCCCTTTGAAACAAAGACATCCATAATGTCCCTGGCCATCTGGCTCAGGGAAGGGAGAGAGGGCTGGTTCCGTGCAATGAGCACTCCTTGCCCACCACTCACTCACTCCTGGTCACCTCTGGTCAGTGCCCTTCTTCAGTTCTGTCCTGAGACATCTTTAAGATTTTATTTATTTATTTATTTATTTATTTATTTATTTATTTATTTATTTATTTAACAGAGGGGGAGAGAGAGAGAGAGAGAGCGCACAAGCAGGGGGAGCGGCAGGCAGAGAGAGAGGGAGAAGCAGGCTCGCCGAGCAAGGAGCCCGACACGGCTCAACTCCAGGACCCTGCGATCATGACCTGAGCCTAAGGCTGATGCTTAACCGACTGAGCCACCCAGGCACCCCTGTCCCAACACATTTTTAAACAATGTCAAAATACTATAGTGCACTCATATATCCTAACTTGTTTTCACTTGTATCATATTTTCCCGAATCACTCAAAACTTCGTGACCATAATTTTTCCTCTTAACATGTTAGTGGCCTTTAATTGTTAACACTGTCATTTCAAAGCCTTTTCTCCTCATTAAGAAATTAATTACCATAAGTACCTAGAAAAAGGCTTGAATAAAGCAGTATAATTTCCAAAAGAAAATTTATTGCACTTAAATACGTTTGTCACAAATATATACAAGCACAAATCTTTCTGTCTTGAAGACCCCAAAACATTTTTGTATAAGTACTTTCCCTGAGCTGAGCATACCTGAACTACTAACAGTGCTTTCAGAACAGACACTAAGTGGGCACAGAGCAAGATGGTGAGAGGCATAAAGAAGGACCTTATTTTAGACTCTTTTGAAAGCTGTATTAACTCCTCTGAATTACATAGTTAGTAATTATTACTTCATCTTACTACTACCTGCAAGTTATAAAAGGGCCTGCCTTACAGCCTTAGGCACTAAAGTATTTTGCTTGTTAATTTCTAATAATTGAGATGACTTGTTTTGACAGAAGTGGTTTGGCAAGTGAAAAAAGCCAATTTTTTCCAATCTTTAATAAGAAATAATAATGTGTATGAGGATTTTTGTTTGTTTCATTTTTATTTTCTTCTTTTTTAAAACTTTCAAATGCCAAAGCTGTCATCTGTGTAGTTTGTAGTTCTCCTCAAAAGCCATGCAGTAGTTCAGCCACCAGGGGGAGTCCGGAAGACTTTTTTTTTTTTTTTTTTTTTTTTAAGTACCTGCTCAAAGCCTGTTATTGGTTTGGGGCTTTAAGGTGTTCCAAAAATGTGGCTAAACCTGTCTTGCTGTGCAGAATAATTCCCCTATCACGGACACACAGACGTGCAAAGCACTTGGGTTTTTTTCTCTACAACACACGGTTTCCAAATTAAGTGGTGTTTCTATATTTGAAAACTATATGGTGGCTAACTGAACATAATAAAAAAATAATAATTTTGAAAAAAAGAGTCTCTGAAAATTGGAAAAAGTCATTGAGAAGAAAAGAAAGGACAAAGAAACGAATAAAGGAGCTAATGTCCAACAAACTAAATTGACAGTAGCCATGAAGACCATTTAAGTCAATACAAAATACAATAGAGAATGATGGTGGTGGTTGTAGGTCATGTCCTATGGAATAAAAGGACCATCCACTAAAACCAGTATTTTCTTCACAGCCAGATGAATCACTTCAAAGGTCCCAAACCCTAAAAAGGCTCTTCCTTCCCCAAATCCCAATGTGGAAGTGAAAAGAAAAAGTCTTAATATATATTACACCTCATCAAGCTGCACTCTGGTGATTTGTGCACTTTACAGTATACCCTGGAAAAAGACAAAACCCAAAAGTTACAGATAGGTTGAAATTAAAATAACTTTGCCTTTAGTGCCCTTCTAATACAGCACTTGTTCTCACAGGAAGAAATAAATAAAATTAAAACGTAATGTCATTATATTACCAATTATTTTCATTACCATGCTCTTAACTTACTTAGAGACTGCAACAGCTTTAACTTGTATTTTTCCATCAGGCAGAGTAATAGGCTTCGTATACTTAAATGTATTATTTTCACCATAACCAATTCTCTTTAGAAATTCAGGTTTGCTGCCATCCAGCGTATAATATATGTTGACATCCGGGGTGTCTGAAAAAAACCAAAACAGGGTAAGTGTAATTAACACTAAAGTAGCACAGTCTCTGTGGGTCAGTTAATTAATGAGATTTTTTATACATCATAGGAATGAATAACAATAACTAGCAATAAGTGAGTTCTTTCTCTGTGCCAGGCACTGTGCCTTGTATGAATTAGCTCAACGCATGTGTACAACCCTATGTGACAGGTCCCATTTTATACCCACTTTATAGATGAGGAAACTGAGTCCCAGAGGGGTTAAGGAGGTTGCTTGATAACAGCAGAGTTGTGGTTTCACTTTGGCTATGGATCCAGAGCCCATGCTCTTGAACCACTATGCTATTGTGCAGCTCCAATAACGCACCGAGGCAAATAGAGCAGGGCTCAGTTTTAAGAATACAACACTCATTTAGAAAGCAGAAGCTAAATTTTTATTTATTTTTTTAAAAGATTTTATTTATTTATTTATTTGTCAGAGAGAGAGAGCGCGCACACACAAGCAGGGGGAGAAGCAGAGGGAGAGGGAGAAGCAGACTCCCCACTGAGCAGGGAGCCTGATGCGGAACTTGATCCCAAGATCCTGGGATCATGACCTGAGCCGAAGGCAGATGCTTAACCAACTGAGCCACTCAGGCATCCCTAATTTGTTATTTTTTGAGCATTGTTTCAGAAATGCTATTACTGGGGCGCTTGGGTGTCTCAGTCGGTTAAGTCTCCAACTTTTGATCTTGGCTTAGGTCTTGATCTCAGGGTCGTGAGTTCAGCCTACTTAAAAAAATGCTTTTTAAAAAGAAATGCTTTTAAGGGGCACCTGGGTGGCTCTGTCGTTAAGTGTCTGCCTTTGGCTCAGGTCATGATCCCAGGGTCCTGGGATCGAGCCCCACATTGGGCTCCCTGCTCTGCGGGAAGCCTGCTTCTCCCTCTCCCACTCCCCCTGCTTGTGTTCTCTCTCTCTCTGTCAAATAAATAAATAAAATCTTTTAAAAAAAAAAAGGTCAAAAAAGTTTGCTTAGAGAGGAGATCTTAAAAGTTCTTATCACAAGAAAAAAAACTGTTGGTGATAGATGGTAACTACATTAATTGTGGGGGTGACTTTGCAGTATATATAAATATCAAATCATTACATTGTATACATGAAACTAACATAAAGTTATACAATAATTATATCTCAATTTTTTAAAAAAGTCAGAAAAGGATATACAATTAAAACCCTCTCCCACCCCTGACACCCATCAGATGGCCAAAGGCAATCAATGGTGTCTTGAGTATCCGTCCAAAAATATTTAACATCCATATAAGCATGTATATATTCTTATTTTCCCCTCTTTTTTAATACAAATGGTGACATAACATATCCTGTTCCACACACCTCTTTTTTCACTGAACAATATTATCTTGGACAGTTTTCTATACTGGTATACAGGGTGTCCTCACTCTTTGTTACGTCTGTATTGGGTGCTGTCCTTATACAAATGAACCAATATTTAACCAATTCCCTACAGGTGAATATTTAGGCTCTTTTTCTTTTCCTTTCTTTTCTTTTCTTTTGCCATCATAAGTACTGCAATGAATATCTTTGCAAGAAGTTCTTTTAATATCTGTAAAATGTGTAGAACCAGTACTGCTCAGACAAAAGATATTTTAACAATATGGTCAAACTTCCCTTCACAGACACTGAAACAATTTACATTGTTACCAGCAATGCATGAAAGTGCCTGTTCCCCCACACTCACCCCTATAGTGTGGTATTAATTTTTCTTTTATTTTTGCCATCTGCTACGTGTAAAAAAAAAAAAAAACTCAGAGTTTTAGCTCACATTGCTTACATTTTTGAGTAAGATTCATTCACTCATTCAACAAATATTTATCAAGTACCTATTCTGTGCCAGACACTGTTCTAGGCCCTGGGGAATACACCAGTGACCAAAGACTCGATTCTCAGGGAGCCTCTATTTTAGGAAGGACCCACAAACAGTAAACAAAACAAACAAACAGGTATATACATGATATCAAGTGGTAATTAAATGTCATGGAGTAAATAAAGCAGGGGATAAGGTCTGCTCAGCTAGTAGGTAAAGGGATGGGTAGATGTATATTCCCCTATGTTTAAAATACATTTATATTTCCTTTCCTATAAAATGTCCTTTCACATCTTTTGCCCACATTTCTATTGGGTTACTATTATTTTTGGTACTGAATTTAGAACCTATTTATTTATTTATTTATCTAAAAGATTTTATTTATTTATTTGAGAGTGCAAGTGCACACAAGTGGAGGTAGGGGCAGAGGGCGAGGAGAAGCAGACTCCCCGCTGAGCGTGGAGCCCCACCCTGGGCTCAATCCCAGACACCAACTGAGCCACCCAGGTGCCCGGAACCTCTTTATTTATTAAACATTTTATTTTTTATTTTATTTTTTTTAAAGACTTTATTTATTTATTTGACAGAGAGATAGAGAGCACAAGTAGGCAGAGAGGCAGGCAGAGGGAGAGGGAGAAGCAGGCTCCCCGCCAAGCAGGGAGCCCAATGCGAGACTCGATCGCAGGACCCTGGGATCATGACCTGAGCCGAAGGCAGCCACTTAACCGACTGAGTCACCCAGGCGCCCCTGTTTATTAAACATTTTAAATATTAGGGAATTTGGATACTCTTGCATATCATCATTTGTCAATAATAATCCACCTTCTCCCAAAAGTTTTGGGCATATTCATTAAAATTTGTATTCTGGTTTGAGAATTTTTAAAAAATAACACTAGCTTTTAAGATAAAGGGAGATACAGTATATTACACAATATTCTTAGCTGGAATTTGTCTAGGAAGCACAGGGGTCACCAGAAATATAGATAAATAGATGATTTTACACATTAACTATCAAAATATATAATTGGGGGGTGCCTGGGTGGCTCAGTGGTTAAGTGTCTGCCTTCGGCTCAGGTCGTGATCCCAGGGTCGTGGGATCAAGTCCCACATCGGGCTCCCTGCTTAGTGGGGAGCCTGCTTCTCCCTCTCCCTCTGCTGCTCTCCCTGCTTGTGCTCTCTTGCTCTGTCAAATAAATAAATAAAATCTTTAAAATATATATATATATATAATTGGAATTTCAAAGTTTTTAAAAATTTTTTTAAAGATTTTATTTATTTATTTGACAGAGAGAGACACAGTGAGAGCGGGAACACAAGCAGGGGGAGTGGGAGAGGGAGAAGCAGGCTTCCCGCAGAGCAGAGAGCCCGATGCGGGACTTGATCCCAGGATCCTGAGATCATGACCTGAGCTGAAGGCAGATGTTTAACGACTGAGCCACCTAGGTGCCCCTCAAAGTCTTTTTAAACAAGTATTTGTTAGAATGTTTTATCTATAAAACTTTCCTGGGGCACCTAACTGGCTCAGTCAGTAGAGCACGCGACTCTTGATCTCAGGGTCATGAGTTTAGCCCCACACTGGGCACAGAGATTAAGGAAAAAAAAAAGCTTTCTCTTCTCTTTATGTTAATTATATATATATACACGTGTATATATGTGTGTATATATATATATATAAATTCCTGTCATTACCCGGAAATGTATTCACTGCTTTCTTTCTTTAATAATAGTTAAGATTTATTTTGGCATTACTATGTGCCAGATGCTGTGTACTTCACATAACATGTCAACTCATTTAATTCTCACAGTGGCTCTAAATGGCAGACATTATTCTCACTGACAGTGAAAAAACTGAGACTCAGAAAGGCTAAGTAATGTATCACGAGAAGTTGTTGAAAGCAGGATTTAATCTCCAGCATGTCTGACTGGAAAGCCTGTGTTAGTAGGTCAAATTACTCTCCCACCAAAATAACAAGAATCCTGGGATAGCGCAGGGAAGAACCGGGACATCTTACCTTGGCTAATGTGAGTCAAGGCATTGCTGCAACTGTCTACTGTTACAAATGAAAAGTTGGTCAGAGCCAACCGCTTTAATTCAAATATACACCACTCTATAAACCACCAAGTACAACAGTTTCAAATTTTGGAACTTTTACAAAATTCCCAAGGTCCTAATTATAGAAAACATGCGAAGTGATAAATCAACAACCCGATGAACATTAAGAGTATGGCAATGTTATTTTACATGCTTTCAAGTACATTTGATTCTTACCAGATTTCATTTCCAAAAGTGTATTGTTATCAATTTCATGGTTGGCTTTTCCGGGGGGAGGCACTCGCAATGGTATGATCTGAGGAACACACACTGAGCCTGCAGTCATTTTCCCTCCTTACATTAAAAAAAGTGGATGAAAATAAATTCCAATGGGCACCTTTTTGAACACAAAAGTTGAAGAGAAGCACTTTGTTTAAATACAGCAAACCTAGTAAAAACTAAGAGAATGCCACCAAAAACATTTTTAATTCAAATAATTATTATTTCAGCTGCATTTTTGCTGTTGAGATCTTGTGTGGGACTTTGATTATCTAAATACTTACCTCACATCTGGGAAAAGAGCATGAACAAATGGGATGGGGAAATGACATTATTTTAAATGAACAAATTAGATGAATACAATAGTCCCCCCACCTTATCCATGGGGGAAATGTTCAAGACCCCCAGTGGATGCCTGAAACTATAGATAGTGCCAAACCCTATATGTACTGTTTTTTCCTATACATATATACCTATGATAAAGTTTAATTTATAAATTAGGCCCTGTAAAAGATTAACAACAACAATAATAAATAGAACAATTACAATGGCATACTATAATAAAAGTTATGCAAATGTGGTCTCTCTCAAAATATCTTATTGTACTGTACTCACCCTTCTTGTGATGAAGGGAGATGATCAAATGCCTACATGATGGGATGAAGTGAGGCGAATGATCTAGTTACTGTGATGTGGCATTAGGCTACCACTGACCTTCTGACATCAGAAAGAGGATCATCTGCTTCTAGGCCCCAGTTGACTACAGGTGAGAGAAACTATGGAAAGCAAAACTGCAGATAAGGGGAGACTAGTGTACATCAGAACAGAGACCATCAGTCCTGATCTGATCTGAGCTTCCCCTAAATCATTATCATCTTTTCCTGCCTCTTGTTAACATGCCACCTCTCTTGGCTTCAGGGCAAGTCATCACCCAAGAGGAACAGAAGTAACTCTGTATGTGGCATGAAATGTTAATTTAGAGCCAGCTCCCTTGGGAAAGCTCCAGGTTCAAGGCCCTGCTGTTGTCGCCAAGTCGTTCTTGCATTTGAAAGCTGCAAAGAGTACCATGCCTCAGCTGAAAGAAAGTTGGCACTGATTTAAACAGTGAGCAACAAGCAAAAAGTCTCCCACTCTCTCTCCTGCATTTATAAATAATTAAGTATAAGTATGGAGGCCTTACTGATCTTTTTTGGTAGGATGGAGTATAATTCTTAATCCATAAAGGATAAAGGGGGGGAAGGAACCCTCACCTTAATTCAACAACGATTTACATCTCTATGCAGCCTTTTCAAATTTTAACGATTACGGATACATAAGTTTCACTCAGTTATAATCTATATGTTCATTCAGTTTTTATAGTGTACTTCTTGCACCCTCACTTGTTTATTTACAATTTTCCACATACTTATATAATCTTATTTATTAATTTGTGGTTGGGCATTTAGGCTATTACTAGTTTCTTTTTAGTTTTGGTTGGTGCAATTCTAAATAATGCTACTCTGACCAACTTCTGGTTTGAATTTTGCCACAGACTACATTCCCTAAAGTTGGATAACTAAGTTTAAGAAGTGAATTTAATGCCTGGTTGGATAGCTCCAGGTCAGAGGCCAAGAATTTAAATTGCAGATTCTGATTTTAGCGTAATAGCCTGTACAGAAGGATGGCTGGACTCGGGGAAGGGAGAGGGAGGGAAGAAAGAGGTGCTGTTACTCATTTTTCCACTTAAGTAAGAGGCAGTTAAAATTAAAACAGTTGAAAAATTAGTCCAAAAAACAAAAAATAGGAGAGTAATATGCGCCGCAATTTGGAGCTACCCTTGGGAGGCTGGGGCGGCCAGTGGGCCCCAAGCAAAGAGGATCAAGAAGTAGACCGACATGCTAGGTCTAAATGACAGTCTGGGATCAATAGCACCCGTAACCCCTTAACTCCATCAATACCGCCCCCTCGCCGCCCGGATCCGGAACCTCATCAGGTCCCTGTCCCTGTCCATCAGGGGCAAATAGAGACGCCCGCTTCCTTTCGGCTGGAGCGAGGGAGGCCCTTCTCCTCTTCCATCCCGCCTCCTCCGGCCACCGGGACCTGTACTGGGGCCCCGAGGTACCGCCACGGTCCCCAGTCAGGAAGCCCACCTCTCACCTCCTCGTGCCCTCTCCTCGGCCGCCTCTTGGGTTTCCACAGACGCTGCGAGTCGGGCCCCGCCCACGAGAGTCGAGCAGGTGATTGGCGGAAACTGCCTTCCTAGCAACCAGCTCCGCCCCTGCCGCTAGGCCCGGAGACTGGTACCGGCCTCGAGCGCCTTTCCTAAGGCTTCACGGCAGGCCTCTGAGAACTTGCCTTCACCGACATTGGGTGCTCGGAGGTGGCGTCCCAACTCAGAGTGAAGGAACCAGGCTCGTTCGTCCGACAGGCATTGACTTTCTGAAAAACAAGATGTAGCGGCGCGGGCAAATGAGGCGGATCAGGCGCGCCTTGGCCACCTCAAGCCGACAGAACAAGTAAGGACCGGCTGCGACACGAGGAAGAAGGCCCCTGCCCAAGCCGGGCGCCGTTTTTCCCCTATTCCCGGTTCCTCGGTTCCCGGACTGGCTATCTGGCGACCCCGAGCGTCTCTCCCCACAGGGGCCGGGAACTGGGCAGTCATGGCTGAGGTGAAAGTGAAGGTGCAGCCACCCGACGCGGATCCGGTCGAAATAGAAAACAGGTAAAACCAGTGAGGTTCGCTTCCCGGCTCTGGAGCCCCCCGCAGGCGGCCGGACGTTTGGGCAGCCGGACGCCTTCTCCCGGGACCCTCGGTAGATACTGGCGCGCGCAGGAAGGAGACTGGGGATTTGGAACCCCTCTCCCATCCCTGGAACGTAGACTTCTTAAGAAGTTCCGAGCGAGTTTGACAGTTTGTAACTTTCTGTATCTCCCCTTGCCCCGGTGCTGTTCTGAAAGTTGTGATGATGTGCTTCCTTCCTGCATTAAGGTGATCTACGCCCGGAGAGGACTCGGTGTTTTTCCCGTAGTACTTGTAGCTACATATTCTCATCCAGGATCGTTCTTGTCGCTAAGAGAACTCTCAAGACAGAACATTTGGGCGAAGTTAGGATGCACTCTGTGGTTTTTGAAGAGACATTGAGCCAAATGGTTTCCATGCAGTACTTAAGTCAAGATTTTAGGTCACCTAAAGCCTCTCCTAATTTTAAATTCGCTATCCGTGCATTACTTTTAGGTTCACATAGTTTTAGAAGACCTTAACTTTCTCAAACTTATGAAAACACGTATGATGATCCTATGACAAAGGGGATATTTGGGCTTATTTTTGTTTGGTAGAGATAATTCCAAAAGCAAGCCCCAGTTATGGTGACTTGTCATAACAAATTTTGCCTTCCTACCAGAAGTGTCTGATTTGCCTTCTCCTTGCAGACTTATGGCTGCCCAGCGCACTGAATATTTATTTTGTCATACTTGTTCCATTTGAGAACATTGAAGCTTCAGCTTTAATATTTTTTCTGTGTTTTCATTTGACTTTTGTTCTAATTTAAAGTTCATATTAGTGAGAAAAAGAAACATTTTTAAATAATAGTAATAATGTAAACATATATTTATCTTGCCCAATTTCTAACATGCTTTGATTCAGAACCATCATAGAAACCTAGATTATCTGATTTTAGCATGGGGCCCTTGGGTGGCTCAATAGATAAGCGTCCAACTCTTGATTTCAGCTCAGATCATGATCTCAGGGTTGTAAGATCAAGCCCCACATTGGGCTCCGTGCTGGGTGTGGAACCTGCTTAGGATTCTCTCTCTCCCTCTCCCTCTGCCCTTCCCTCCTTACCGCCTCCCCCCAACTAAGCCTCCCACTAAAAACAAACAAACAAATAGATTATCTGCCAAATGTGAATAAAGGCACGATTTCTTTCTTTCTTCCTTTCTTTCTTTCTTTTTCTTTCTTTCTTTTTTTAAGACTTGGAACCTTAAATGGAATTTTTTTTTTGCTTTTTTATTTTGTCATGTTATGTTAATCACCATACATTACATCATTAGTTTTTGATGTAGTGATCCATGATTTATTGTTTGCGTATAATACCCAGTGCTCCACGCAGTACGTGCCCTCTTTAATACCCATCACCAGGCTAACCCATCCCCCCACTCCCCTCCCCTCTAGAACCCTCAGTTTGTTTCTCAGAGTCCATAGTCTTTCATGGTTCGTCTCCCCCTCCAATTTCCCCCCCTTCATTTTTCCCTTCCTACTATCTTCTTTTTTTTAACATATAATGTATTATTTGTTTCAGAGGTACAGGTCTGTGATTCAACAGTCTTACACAATTCACAGCGCTCACCATAGCACATACCCTCCCCAATGTCTATCACCCAGCCACCCCGTCCCTCCCACCTCCCACCACTCCAGCAACACTCAGTTTGTTTCCTGAGATTAAGAATTCCTCATATCAGTGAGATCATATGATACACGTCTTTCTCTGATTGACTTATTTCACTCAGCATAGCACCCTCCAGTTCCATCCACGTCGTTGCAAATGGCAAGATTTCATTCTAAAGGCACAATTTCAAACTGTTCTGCTTGTATCCCCGCCCCCCCACCTCTTGAAATAGGTAAAAACATGAATAATATTGAACTGCCTTTCTTCGTAGGATTATAGAATTATGTCATCAGTTCCCTCATGGAATCACAGACCAAGTAATTCAGAATGAAATGCCTCATATAGAAGCCCAGCAGCGGGCAGTGGCCATCAATAGACTGTTGTCCATGGTAAGGCAAATTCAACTAGTTCACGTAATCATTTATGTGCTGTGATTGTCATTACTTCCTAGTATGTGAAACCATTCGAAAGTGTCTTAGGTTAAGACTCCAAGCCAGGAAGCAGCTCAGACTGCCTGAACTGAGGAAGGAAGAAATAATTACACATCATTTTACAAGATGAATGAGGGGCACCTGTGTGGTGCAGTCGGTTAAGCATCTGACTCTTGGTTTCCATTCAGGTCATGATCTCTGAGTTTGGGATCAAGACCCATGTGGGCTCTGTGCTCAGTGGAGAGTCTACCTGAGATTTTCTCTGTCCTCTCCCTCTGCCCGCCTCCCCCGTGTGCTACCTCTCTCTCAAATAAATAAATAATTTTTAAAAATGAATAAAATAAATGTATTTTGTTTTAACCGTTGTATTTGTTGACCTAATTGTCATCGTGTACACAGGGCACATAGGGCTAGTCTGCTCTCACCTTCTGTTTACTTCCTGCTGCCGATGTTGGACCATTCCCTATGAAATATGCCCTCTGCCAGCTATCACAAAGTCAGTTCGTTAGGGTTTCTCCCTCCACAATTTCACTTTGAGCATTTCAGGAGGCAGGAATGAGTCCAGTAACACTACAATGGGGTTTTTCAATGAAGCCCTTCTACCTGCTTTTACCTCTTCTCTTGTCCTGGGGCCTTAGTGTCATTCTCCTCCACGGTCCAAAAATATCCCACCTTGTGGCACCCCATCCTCTAAGTCTACCTAATTCTCCTTCCATTTCCCCTACATCAGAGATCCCCTGTCTTGAAAGCATTTCACTTTGGTCGTAGTAGAAATTGGGTAAAAGATTTCTACACTAAGGACTCATGGAAATTTGAGGACAGGTGAACTTTCTGTTAAACTACTCCCTTCAACCTTCTAGCTTAATGGCTGGAAAACTTTTTCTGTAAAGTGCCAGATAGTATGTATTTAGGCTTTGCAGGCCATGTGGTTTCTGT